ATTCCAGTCTCACAGAAGTTTCAAATATACTTAACTGAATATTCTTCGCTTGACATAAAATTCGTTGTCTTGATAGATGTCATCCAATCATATCAAGATAAATATAGATATGGCTGTTATGCATAGCCGTAACGCCAAGGAATCCTTTTTCCTCAGCTACCCTTGGACCTATGCTTACATTTCAACCTCAGTCTAGTTTATACTCCCCTCACCACCATTAACTTGTTGGCGGGCCTGATCAAAAATTTGACCTCTTTTGCTTCCTGTCTTTTCTTATTCTTGCGCTCATCCAACTTTCCACCTCTCCGCTCTCCGTTCCGCTCCGCTTGCGCACTTTGTCCAAACTATCTCTTGTATAATAGTGCAAGCCCACCCCACTCAATGTCTCTAGATCAATGGGCTGCGACATGAATCCCTCTGTTCTCGTCACTCTCTGGTCTATACAGATACCCCTCGGAGCCTACAATACCTATATCGACATCAGCCATTTCGTAGACCTTTCGCTACGCCAACATATAATGCCACTGTCTTTGTACGTTTCATTTTGTCCCCAACTACATGTATATCACGTCACATGGTGATAAAACGTTCTTATTCTCACCTCACTTATTCCGCCTTTTCTTCAGTCTATGATCCCGCCCCATTCTGCCATCTTCTACATACTCCCACCTCAATCCCCCAGTCTCTCTACTCACCGTCATCTTCCTCACTTTCCCCACTAACAATAATTCTAGTAGTTTTCGCATAGTCTCTGTCACATCCATCATTGGCTTTATTCTCCTCGTCCGCAAACCTTATTTCCACTTCATATCCGTTAACCGCTTGCGGCCCCCTTATTATGCCCTATCCAATCTCTTCCGAGCCATCCATGTGGCTTTTCATTTATCAGTTATTTTTGTCACTTTACAGAGCGGCCGATGGTACCCTTCTGCATATTCTGCAAGGGCACGACTGATAATTTTGCTGTACGTACCTATTCATCTTGCCAATCGATCCCACAGACAAATAGGATCATCGCCCCCTCCTGTCCCTTTAATTGTCTTGTCATATCAGAACACTGATGTATGTGTATAAAAGATTTTCATACTGCACATCATTAGCGTACGGCTCATGGACCTGGTATCTGCTGTGGCGAAATCGTCGTGATAGCAGTGACAACGAGGATGACGATGAGGGTTCTATCGAACCGGGAATGAATCTTGTACCGCGCAAGATTCTCAGTCCATCTGATCTCACCTCCAGGAATAATTTCGTTATTAAAACAATGCTTTGGATTCATGCGCCGCTTCACATAATATCAAACGATCTTACCTCCGACTTCGAGGAAAGAAAAGTCTGGGGAAAGTTGGCGGTGATAGTCGTTTGGGGATCGAAAGTTCTTGGGTTTGGTTATATGTTTTTAAAAAGTCTCATTGGGACGCCCGCTCTTCTATTCCTAGTATGTATTTCCAGTCTCTGTTACTTTGCTAGAAATCAGACTGTGTGAGTGATTCTGCCGATTTAACTAATCTCATAGCTCTCTTTACACCCACGATTTCCCGGCGAACCCTCAGTTCAAATCACACAAAGTTCCCGCAATAAATGGATCTACAACCGCCCAAAACTAGGACGTCATGACCAAGTTAAAATACCTTCACAAGGCCGACAACCCTTTCTTGCTTCATTAAGAGAAGGCTCATTGCCCACAGATATCAATCACTTCGGCGAAGAAGCTAACCACTCTACTGATATTATGAGTCTTCACAGCATCGCTGATTACAGCGAGGTTCCCTCTCATCATCCATCTACATCGCTTAATACAAACGATGTTATGGACCGACAACTCGGCCCCTCTTACCTCTGTTTCTTAGACCCTTCCTCATCTACCGGCTACACCACTCGTCACGTATCTACTTGGGCTTAGTCACATGGAAACAGTTACCCTAACTCCATATTCATATCTTATACACGTCTTCAATTCTTTACCATCATTTCCGGAGACCCCAGTTTGCCATCTTCTATCAATGCTCGTCGACAGGCTGCAGCGGAGCAGGACATGAGAATGCTCATTCAGTTCGCGATACGTGCTACGAAGACCGCAAATATTGATGCTTTTTGGATAGATTATGAGTGTATACGTCCCGAAGAAGACGAAGATCCGGATAAAAGCATAGGAGAAGTATATCGAATATGTGATATCGTACGGGCATGTCACTCGATGGCTATAGTTGTTGGACCACGATTTAATTTTACCAATTACACTCATGATGCCACGGAGGACGGGTTAGACGATCTTTCAAATACAAAAACACAATGGCTACGAGACTGGGGAAGTCGTCTCTGGACTGTTCCTGAAGCTCTTCTATGCCCAGGCGAACACCGCATTTCAATTTACACACCTGGTACTGCTGAGCCCGAATTAGTCGCAAAACGAAATCTTCCAGGTCGTGTTTGGGATGATGCTATTGCTTTACGCCAATTGATTGATCACTATGAATCTTCAATCCATCTCACGAAGTTGGAATTGATCTCCATTGCCCTTGAATGTCTCAAGCGGCGCCAAACGGAGAAACGCATGGCTGGCGACGTAGCATATGCTCTGCAAGGATTGCTTCGTCAACGTCCTCGAGTTCTTCAATCGGATAGTGATTTCCAGGCTTTTGCAAGACTTTCTCTTGCCAACGATAGTGATATGCTTCTTGAACGACTTCTCTGCCTCAAATTGAAGGATAATCGGGCACCATCGCATGAGATGCAAGATGTTTGGGGAGCAAAATTATGGGATATCACGCCAATATGTCAGGTTTCTGAAGTGGTCGAGAATAACACTGTGATATTAGGAGATGCGAAAGGTGCGATGATCAATTGGGAGTTTCTTGAAGCAATTTATTATGAGTCTACACGTCCACAGAGATTTGGTTGGGGACTGCTGAGAGCATGTTCATATTTCAGTATGGTGTTTATAATCTCTGTGGTGGTGATGTCTGGTTTTTGGTCTCAGAGATCTGGCAGAAGGTTCGATACATTTTTCTCGAACTTCTGGAAGGCAGCTTTGGGTGTATTCGTGGCGAATGCCATTATAGTACCGTGGGTAGTCCGATACCTTTACAGGAGTTCCGAAGTCCATCAAGCGCAGGCTAGACTCTATGGCGTAGCTGGGCGTCCGGATTTGGGGAGGGTGGAAGAGCTGATGTTTGGATCTGATCAAGGTCGCTTACAGTGGATGGAAGGAGGGGATAGTGTGACTGATCATCCCGATGGTGAGGAGTATAGCTATGAAAGTGCACTGAGATCGTTCACACTCATAGATACATGCACACTATCAGCGATTCAATTCGAAGCCGAGCTTCCGCCATCAGTAGTTTTGGCAGGCGCGCGCGCTCGTGGACTAGTACGGATGCTTTTGTGTTCTTACGATGCAAAAACGGCGACATTGTGTAAAGAGGCGGTTGTGCGGATGGAAACTGTCGTACTTGACCGGATGCTAAAGTTGAATCGGGTGCGATTCGCTTTGAAGCAGACGAGGGATGATGTGATAGCAGATAGTAGATAAGCCGGCTTCTTCACTTTGTCTTGCCCAGATTTGTCTGGAGATAAAAGTCTGTTTAGCACTAGTGGAATATAAATGCTACTCTTACTTTCGCTCAATATACAATTTTTGACAACCGATTTTTATCACACGTAGCAGTTCAACAAGACTCTGATACTTAGACTGAATAATAGGAACACCAAAACTGTTCTTATAGACCTTCCACTCCCTCAAAAGAAGAGACATACTGACAGCTCCACCTAAGACAATCGACATATTGAGGCTGCTGAATTTAGTGAAGTGCCACTTTGGTATCCGAATATAGAGCAATCACCTCATTCTGTATGGTGAAATATTAGGATTGTCGACCGAGTACTTCATAGCCCCGTGTTTAGATTCGGCACAAAAGAAGTCTTATCGAGGGTCACAAGACTCTTTGTTGTATTCGTCACCTTTGTTTTGATTGACTCGTAACTGCATAGCCATGTAATACAATGGACTTCCTTTGTGTTTGTGTTGTTAACTTGGCGGTCCTACAACTTTTGAATAGTACATATTTTTAAAATCAGTCATCACTCACAATAATTGACGGATTATCTTCGCTCCTTTAGCTCAGTGGTAGAGCGGAAGATTGCAGTTTCGTACAAATATCTTCAGGTCAATCGTTCGAACCGGTTAGGGAGCTTCAATTGCTCTGTGTGAAGAGTCTGATTATTTTTGCAAAATTTTCCCATCAAGTATTATGGTTTCATCGCAACATCCTTCTTTTTTTCTCCAAGAAAAACTTGTCCTTCTCGTTCTTTCCGTAGGTACCGAATGATTCACGAAGCTTAGTCAGTCAGGTGGATATAGCCTTCGAAATGGTATTAGCTTCTGATCGTCTTAGCTAAACACGTGGAGATCCGGACGGAGATAATCATCTGATAAGTGGAAGCGAGATAACCCCTTCGTCTCTCCACTTTCACCGCATCACCAAGCAAAATTCACATCAACAAAGAACGTTAAATGTGATCCTTATCATCGTACCAATTGGAGTTTTCAGATGCTTAAACACGTCTAGTAATTACGGTAATAATAAGATCAGACTCTCGGCTTGAAGTTCACCGTGCGACTGTTGGGCATTGGCTGCCAATTGATGGTACGAAAGATGGTTATTTAACCACACCATCGGAGCAATATCTTCTTCCGGAAGGCACTTCTTCAAAGCCAGGGATTACACCGCGGCATACTACAGCTCTACTTTACTGGGAGATGGCGGTACTCTACAAGATACAAGCTCACAAGCTTTGTTCCCCTCTTGTCCATCTGAACTATACTCGATCTAATCACGAACACCTTACATTTTTTCACGTGCGCATGGAAAAACAATTGCTTGGCCTCACAGAAGGTGAAAAGTGACAGGTACCGTGCATGGGTCACATTCTTGTAATCTCCGCAATTCCACTTCACAAGGTACCAAGTCGACCCCGCTTTTTTGAGGTGAGGTGAATGGACAGTTACATTTCTCTTCTAGGAGTTTTTGTATATAATGGTTTGATTAATCCGGCGATAGGAGGATACAGAAGTTCCTCTCGCTGTCGCTTTCTAGGTCTCCAAGTCAATTGTTGAACCGTACACTCTTCAGTTCTGCACCGAGCCATTAATCATGCGTTTCGCAACTGCATCTTTAGCATTGCTTCCAGCTGTTGCGCAAGCGGTTAACATTGTTTCTGCAAACGATGATGGTTGGGCTGAGATCAATATCAGAACTCTGTACAATTCTCTGACCACTGCGGGACATGATGTTCTCGTTTCTGCCCCTGCAGAGAACAAGAGTGGTGCAGGTATGAAAGATAGCTTCCTTTAGCATCCTACGGAATAAATCTAATTATTACGAAAAGGTTCTCTGACTGGCACACCCACTGTCCTCACCGAGGCATGCGAATTTAATTCCTGTCCAAGTGGGAGTCCAGCAGTAGGCTATAATAGCTCAGCTCCTCAATTTAACTACGTCAACTCTTACCCTGCGACTGCGATGGAGTATGGTATCGAAACGTTGGCTCCAGGATACTTTGGAGGTGCCCCTGACCTTGCTGTTACTGGACCAAACGTCGGAGGTATGTATTTGATTGCAATTGAGGTTAATGAAAATGAAGACTAATGACTGATAGTCAACACTGGTGTTATTTCTTTCGTCTCCGGTACTGTTGGAGCAGCGATTGAGGCCGTAGAGCTCGGTGTACCAGCAATTGCCTTCAGTGGAGCCGAAGGATCCGCAACCGCCTGGAATGTTGCGGCACCGGCCTATGCCACTATCTATGGCGAATTAGGTGCAAAAGTAGTCGATGCCATCGTTGCTTCTGGTACTCCATATCTCCCAGACGAAACATTCTTGAATGTCAACTTCCCTGAAACTACCGATTGCACATCAGCGTCTGATTTCAGCTTCGTTCTTTCCAGGATTTATACTGCAGTTCCATTGATTAGTGGTACTGATGTTGTAACTTGCAACAATGGAGGTAGACTTCCTACTGAGACTAAAGTTGTTGGAACCGATGGATGCTATGTCAGTATCAGTCTTGGTGGAACAAACAAGAGGGATAGTAGTGCTGCCAACCAAGCAGTTGTTTTGAGCAAGCTCTCCAGTATTCTTACATGCTTACCTTAATTGAGAGGGATATTGGATCAACATCATGGGCGAGGAAATCAAAAAGACATTCCATCTGGATTTATTAAAATAGATATCCTAATTGAAACTCATAACGAATCAAACTCCTGTTTTGTAAGCTGTGCTGAGCGTGAAAGTGAACAGCCTGTTGTTAGTGGACATGAAATGATTGAAAAAGAATGGTACCTGATCTATTTGCAGCTCTTGTGTCTAGTCTCTACCACTCATGGTCCACATTAGGCCAGTGACTGTTCGTCGAAGCTAGAAGGTTCCTCCATAAACCTGTGCATGTATAATTCGGCAGCAAATGCGTACTGATCAAAGTTCTTAGTACAATGAAATACAATTGACGAGTCGTACCCCAGTAGTAAGATACAATTTCTGCAGGCCGGATAGTGTTGACAGCCGTACCTACTCTCCTTCCCTCGGTTATAAAATTCGAACGCTGCTGAGCTTTCATCCTAACCATAATATGGAGGACTTTTGCAGAATGTGATCCTGGAGTCTTCATTGGCTAACGCTTTGGTTAAAATATCTTAGTATTTTGGCTTGTGACTGCACGGAGGCTTGTGAAGATCGCAATGCATGAACCGCGACTTCGTTGGAGGCCAAATGGCAGGTCGTTCAAAATTAACATTAAAGACAACGGTCAATTGTGGATGGAAGGTTGACTGCTAAGTCAAGTTGGTATATGGTATCGTTTGATCTGTACACCACTGTCTCTGTGTGGGTACGCACATTACATGTTTCGGGATGGTACAAAGAATGGTCGTGCAATTCAAAAGAGATCACACAAAAGACTACGACACATCATGAGCATCGGTAAGGTCACGTGCTGTGCTTATCTTATCTTATCTAATCATCATGCGAGCCATTGAACAACTTCCATCACAAACAATCAAACTGTAGGCCAATTGACTTGCAGCATTTGAATCTGACAGCTCTGAATTCTGTCCGCAAATTTACTAATTATTTGATTGCACTCGAAAATTTCCGATCTCCCTGCCGAATCTCTCGCATGGATCACACCAAAAGAATCGACCTTGCCTGTGTTGAATGCCGACGAAGGAAGCGCAAATGCGACGGGAGAAAACCACAATGTTCCTCATGCCAGGCCCGGGAAAGAGAGTGTGTTTACGACCATGAACGAAGCAATCGAAAGTGAGAATGAACTTTGATCTAGTAATGTCAGGGCAGATTTAGAGCTTGCTAATCTATTTCTGCTCAGACGCAAGAGAGACCCAGAAGAGGTTGAACAACTCGAAGAACAGATTGAGATCCTTACACAAAGGGTAAAAGAATTAGAGAATGAAGCTTCTTCTGGTAGTTCAACGCGTAATAATACTTCAGGATCAGCATCTTCGCCCACAAGGCTAGGAATGGATGGGCTTTCTGGAGCTCCTTCTGACCAAGAAACACGATCGGCTTCTGCAGTCGACGAGGTAGGAAACTTGATGTGGAAGCTGAAGATAGATAGCAATGGAGATACTTCATTTATTGGCCCGTCGTCTAACCTCCAGTTTATATCTGCTGCTCAGGAATCAAGAAGCGATAGCCAGCTTCGAAGCAATCCGATAATCACGGCATCTGATATGCCTTCCTTAGACCAGTGTCTTGCGGATAAGGCGTTGCAACAGGAGCTCTTTGATGTCTTTAACTCTGTTGTAAACCCAAACAATCAATTTCTTGATCCGTTTTCTCTCAACAACTTCGATATTCTTTCTGCTGGAGCTGACTTGGATGAGATTTTGTTACGAACTGCAATGTTTGCTCTTGCAACTTGTTTTTCTACGCGAGAAAATGCTACTCATATTGGCGATTTGTTTTACAAGAGCGCTGAGAATATTGTCCAACGGTGTTGTCGAAGCTGTCCATCGCTTGTTACCGTTCGGGCGTTGGCAATGCTGTGCTGGCGGGATCTCACCTTAGACAATGAAAATTCGGCTTGGATGTATAATTGTTAGTCTCATTAAAAGTCTCAAGAGCATTGATCATTAACCAGTATCTTCTTTTAATAGGTATGGGCGCAGCTCTAACAACACAACTTGGCCTGCATGTGGTGGATCTGCAGAACATCGCAGGTATCTCACCTGAAAGCAAAGACTCACGTATCCGAACATTCTGGCTTTGGTTTCGTATTGACCGGTAAGGTTGGCAAACATATTCATGGATATCGACTGATTTTCAAAGAATTGCTACATTCAGCTTAGGACGACAATGCTGTATACCATGGACTCGTGTCAGAACTCCATGGTTGGAGAGTATTTTAACATCATCAGCGACGCTCCCAGAGCTCGTTTTCAATTACGAGTGTCAGCTCCTTTTTTTGTTCGACAAATATATGGATCAAATGTATGGCTAGCTAGGTATAGCATACAAGTTTTATTGCTAATAAGTGTAGTTACTCATTCCAGTTCCATGAATTGGCCAGCCAAAGCCGCAATAAACTTTTATTCGATGCCCGCGAAGCCTTATGCACCTTTTATAATGAAATGAATAAACAGCTATCGAGCGAATGGAATGGACAGTCTAGCACCACTATCAGTCTTCGAATGACATATCACATGTGCCTCATATTGGTGCAGCGACCTCTATTGCGCGAGGACTCCAATGGTGCTCTTTACCGCATGGCTGTTCAATCTTCAAACTCTTCAGCTGTCGCTATTACGAATTCACTCCGAGACTATCGAAAAGCCGGATGCCTCCGAACCGCTCCTTTTGTCGTAGTACACAATGTTCTTACAGCAGCCATTATGCATCTGCTTAGTGTAACCTCCTCGGATGGTACTTTGCGTAAGCGGTCAATTACTCGATTCAGAGAGTGTATAGAAGCACTGGGAGAAATGAAATATGCTTGGAAGCGATTACGAAAGGCCATCGCGTTGCTTCAAGAACTTGCGCATAGATGGTCTGTAGTATTTGCATTGCCAATGCGACTGAGCTATCCTCTACCCGCGCACTCCCAAAATGATATTGCAAGCCAACCTAAAGATCAGTCATCGATGGAATACCATATTACAGCTGCTTCGGGAGCACACAACGAAGACGACTATTTTGCAAATTCCTACTCGGCCGACAGGCTCGAAAATCTTCCTTCGAAGGAAGATCTTCGTGCAACGGAAATTAATGAAGGTAAACGTTTTGCAAGTTCTGACTTCACATTGGGAATTTATGAGATGGGTGACCCGTTTCAATTGAACGATATGAATTGGTTATTCCCTCCTATAGATCAACCTTAAACGACTATTTTTCTATATTTACGAGTATATACCTCGCTCTTTTCCAACAAAAATATACCTCATTTAGGTCCAGAGAAAGTTAACGCAGTTGTGGTATCCGCCCATGATCGTATTCTTTTTCCGAATATATACATTGGGACTGTCATCAGCATGATACCTAAAGTCAACGCCGTGAAAGTTGAGAAAAATACAAGAGGGCCGGCTGCAGTATAATAATCATTGAATACGAACGTGAGACCGAAAGCAAAGGCGCTTTTAATAATCTAAAATAAACATTAGACGATTGCTTCCTCATCTTGTCTTCAACGAAAAGATAGCTTACCATAGCAAGACCAAAGGCTTCACCAGATCGCCGACCGCATACATCGTTGGTGTAAGCAACAACGCCGGTGCACCCAGCACCAACCGCAAAATTCAAAATCGCCATAAACACACCGCACGTAATTGGTGAGAGGCCTTTATCAATGGCAGCTGCAAGGCCAAATCCACCAATAGCCATTGTGATAAATGCCGGTATAATGATAAGAAGACGAAACTCTGGCTCGTACATGCCACGATTGCGTAGTGCCAGATACCCGACTACCTTGTCGCAAGCCCACCCCGCTGTGAGTGTTCCTATTGTGGATCCAATCAAAGGTGCGATTCCTGCAAGGTTTCCGACTGCAGTTGTGCTCATGTTATATGGTTCTGCTCCGAAGATTTGAGAGACCACAGCACCGATTAGAATGATCCATGTAAAAATTACTGACCACATCAGACATCCCCAAAGAATTGCAGGGTGTGCTAAGAGGATAATCGGATCTACACAGAGTTTGAAGACGCGGCTTTGGTTGCGAAACTTTACAGCGCCAAGCCCAAAATGATATTTCCAACTCGATACTTGAGAATGACTCTCAACGTCTGAGCTTCTGATCTCATTATTTGGCGAACTTATTGTCGGCGCCAGTTGATCAGATTTCTCTTTTGGGGAAGCCGAGTTATCTCCGGAGGTATCGACTTCAACGGAGTTATCTAAGCTTGCGTTGCGGTAGAAAGTCGTCTCGGGGAAGCAGACGAAGGTTGCTGCCAGAATCACAACCCAAAGAATTGCCAGAAGCCAAAAGCTCCAGTGCCAGGACACACTAGAGATTAAATATCCACTCACAATTGGTGTGAGATTGTTTGAGATCATGACGCTGAAATTCCAAAGTCCAATACGTCTCCCACGCTGGTGCACAAAGAATATATCAGTAATCGAAGCGGTACCCGCCATTGCAAAAAAGCCGCCCATTCCAAGTCCTACGGCGATAAGTCAGCAGTGCTCAAATTCTTCCAGAAAGACTTTTGCGAGAACTCACCTTGTATTGCGCGTGCCGCCAACAGGGAATTGTAGGAATTTGCTGCGCCAGCCCAGCAACATCCAGCCACAATGATAACCGTCGTTATAAGGTACACCAATTCGCTTTCCGTATACTTCGGCTATGCAGGGGCAAAGGTACGCGCTCATACCAAGAGTCATGATCAAGCTGCCATTCAGAAGGGCCATATCAGTCAACTGCACATCGAGTAACATGGCGACTGTAGTGAAACCAGGCACAAGAACTGGCCCGAGTGACCCTGCTGCACATGCCCCGAAGACAATAGTCGCGAAGAGGAGTTCTTTTTTATATCGAGGCCAGTTCAATGGATCTAATGGCGACTCGGAGGGCTTTGGGATAAGGATGAGTCGCGTGTCGACTCCCTCAGGGTCTGATGCATTGCGCAAATTCTCTAGAAGATTCGTTCCAGATGGAACTGTGCTTGACACTGGCTCCAGAATTCCGAAAGCCATTTCGATTTTAAGTTTGAGGAATAGATATGGCTAAATGCCCAAAAGGGAAGCTGCTTCAACTTTCTTTCCAATAATGAAGATGATGAAAAGGAATGGATGCATGTTTCTAGAGCAAACCATTGTGGCTCCTTATATCTTAAATTCAGCCCAGTATATCTAGACTTCTGGTATCTGATACATGCCATTACTTTCATCTTATCAAGTGGCTTGATTGATGTGATCTTAGTCTTATCAAACAGTTAGGCGGCTTCAACATGCCGCCGCGATAGCTTCATGACTTGGCATTATCCGAGGTTCAGCCGATTTACAACTAATCATCCAACTCATCAGAGTCACCAATAAGTTACCATAGGGTAATATCTTCATATCTTTTACAACTCAGCATCTGACCCCGAGAAAAGATAGATAGCCAACTATTCATCTTTCCTCAAAAGTTTTGTATTCTCAGAAATAACACAGCAACAATGACCCAAACATCGATTCCACCCAGATATGTCCGAGTCGCAGTGACAGAATTTGAGCCTATTTGGCTCGATTTGCAAAAGACGGTCGATAAAACATGTCTTCTTATCAAGGAGGCGTCTGTGAATGGAGCACAGCTGGTCTCATTCCCAGAATGCTGGATCCCAGGGTATCCATCATGGATATGGTAGCAATCCCTTCAGTCTTACATCCTAAGTTCTCGCTAACAATGGATACCCCTTCAAGGACTCGAAGTGTTGATTTTGATCTCTCTACTACCTACATCAAAAACTCATTACGTATCGATTCACCCGAGATGGGTCGCATATGTGCAGCAGCGAAAGAAGGCAATATATCAGTCGTCTTGGGTTTTAGCGAGAATTGGAATCACTCTCTTTACATCTCTCAAGCAATTATCGATCATGAAGGCATCATACGAGTGAAATGTCGAAAGCTCAAGGCTACACACATGGAGAGAACTGTATTTGGTGAGGCATCAGGATCATCGTTGACGAACGTAGTTGATCTCGATGGCATTGGACGAGTGGGAACCTTAGCATGATGGGAACATGCACTTCCTCTACTCAAATACCACAGTTATAGCCAGCGCGAAACTATTCACGTCTCCCAGTGGCCACCGATATGGGAACATAGTGGAGGGCCTGATCTTTGGTCCATGTCCAGAGACGGTATGTCATTATGTTGTAATTTGGAGATGATTGAGCTAATAGAGTTTCTTTAGGAAGCCGAACCCTTTCGCAGGCACATGCCATAGAATCACAATCATTCGTCTTGCATACTACAGCAGTGCTTAGTCAGGACGGAATCGATAAAATGGATACTAGTAATGGTCTGGTTATGAACGCGCCTGGTGGAGGCACTTCTGCCATTTTCGGCCCAGATGGTCGAAAATTGTCCGAAGATTTGCCAGATACAGTTGAGGGTTTCTTATATGCAGATCTCGATCTGGATGTAATTCTGAAATCGAGGAGTTTCTTGGATGTCTGTGGTCATTATAGTCGACCCGATTTGCTCGCTATAAGTGTTGACGATATAGAAAGGGTTTTGGTGAACAGTGCGTAATATTAGTTGATAGACGATGTGTAATAGTTCATTACCTTTTACTTCTGCGCTGTCTCGGAAAAATATAAGTGTCTTGATGTGAACTTCAGTATACCCAATTTCATAACCTCAGATTCGCATTATTGTCTTAATTTACAAGAAAAATGCCGCCTCGTACAAGTTTCTCAATCATAAAGTCAATTTGATCGCTACTGGTAGCCGCGGGCAGATATTTCGTGCATCTCGTCATTTTGCACAACTATTATCGTTTCATTAGCTTTTTTCATCTATCACTAGAATTGAAAATCTGTATCAACAAATTTCTTAATCAATCATACTGTAATTAATTCTGTAGCCACACAGGATTTATCGCTGCGGTTCCAAGTCCTCCGATCATGATAGAATCCGAGCTCCTGAATGATCTGTCTAGTATCTTTCTCAAACGTACTCCGCATATGGAGTAAAAAGCCTGTCAAAACGATACTTTCCAGATAGAACAGTTAGCTTCTAGATTTTAATACATTGTCCATCTAAAGGGTGGGGTCTGCAGTATTCGCACTTGTTTTTTGTTATCCAGGCGGCTCCAACTTACCGCCTCCAAAGGCTAACTTTAAGCGAGAAGGGGATCCCTATGTATTGCTACTGACTATTACGATGGTTTATCAAAATGCTAATCAATGAAGATAAGATAAGGAGTTATAAATATTGCTAACGATCAAGATTGCAATCTGTAGATATGTGAAGAATATGTCTGTTTGATTTGACCGTACATATTGGAGCTTAAGGTATTACTCAATAAATCATCTAAAGACAAATGGGCTTACACTCATCCAAAAGTAGTTTAGCAAGGACTTTTTACTTCATTTCAAAGTTTAGTCTAGAATCGAACATCGTATGCTTATATTTCCACTCCCGTATCAATGTCGAAGTACTGTCATCCCAAACAATTAGATATTGATTCCTCAATTCAGCACTGAATCATCTCGTCTAGTAGATCCGAAAGTAAATTATCTATCTGCAATGTGTAGCTTGAATTCCAATATTTTTCATTCGGTGTTGAGGTCTAGATCAAACGTGGAAGGGAGAATTATCGCTTATAACATTAAGAGTTAGTCACTCACTCTACTTTCATCCTCGCTAAGCTATTGAATCATCTCGTCTGGCATCTGCGGATAACATTGCCCCCATCCGACTTGGAAGCTGAACTGTCTAGTCTGGTTTTCCGGATTATACCCATCCAAACCACGTTTCATATCGTCTATGGGAACTTGGAAATTTTCAGCGTTCTCATGAGCTTTTCTTGAACATTTTACCGGCATTTCATGAAATTCCGTGAGTTTTGTGTGCCATTTGGGATATCTCAATATGCCTACATGCCTCAAAACCCCGAAATAGCTGTATACAGCAACTGGAAGCTCATTTTAAGGTCACATGATGTGTCTTTATTCATGTAGACCAGGTCATACCTGTATCGTACAGATTTGAGATTTTTTTTGGTATAATTTCGTATTCTAAAAGCCCAGTGTCATGGGCCCGAGTACCAAAAGTTCGGTCTCGTGGATTTTTTCAAGTAAGTTTTGATTAATTTGGTTTCATTCGAAATTAGAATGCCATTCCTGGGTGCTTTCAGCTCATGCAAAGGTCATCGTAGCTCGCAAAAATATGATAAGGTACCCAGAAGTTCCTTTCTAAGGATTTCCAAAATATTTCCGACTCATTTTGACCAAAGCATACCTGAAAATCTATTCTTCAGCACCATACAGTGTATTGCTAGAGTCATCAAAGTTCAGAAGTGAATTTCTCAGTGACTTAAAACCCCCAATGATTCGAAGAACATCTTTAAGATGCTTTTGGATTACCCCCATTCAGTGACTGGGAGCCCCTAATGACTTGAAAAGTCCTACGTACTCGCCAATGTTACACCTCTTTTTAAGCAAAATAAGTGAATGAATGGCATCTCGAGGTTATTTCGACTCAAAGTATCCCATAATAATTATTTATAACCTTAGATCACTCATACAAATTAATATGAGTGTGAAAACACCACATTCTGAGGTGTTGTGATTCGAAAAGTCAACAGAACAATTATTCATTGCCCTGTATCACCCTCATTTTGTATTTGAGGTATGAATTTATTCTATTTCGAGGGCATTCTGACTCAAAAATGTACAGAATGCCACGGATATAGGGGTATATAGATGATTGTACGCTGTTTCGAAGTGTTTTTTTGACTCGAAATGTTTATCAAGTGACACAGGAATTCCTTGAATGACACAACATAAGAAATGTCTTATGAATTTTTATGACTTCCAGGCAATTTTGACTCGAATTAAATGATTCTCAGCCTCTATTTCCAGTCCCCAATTGTGCTCAAATAGGGCTGGCTTCCCCTCTTCGGTACCTTTTCTTCTCCCCTCTATATCCGGCATCATAATCTACTTACGGAAGAAGGCATATTCTTCACCAGGCAAGCTCTAAATACACCAGCGTGAAACATATTCTTCTCAAATTCACACCAAGAATCTTACCATCGCTTGAAAACCTCTCACTACATCTCCTCGCACGGATTCTTAAAGCTCCTTATCACATCGGGTGACCTCGTACACGCACGACTTATCCTTCTCCCTGTTGCAGAAAGCTTAGGTATTTTTGATTCTTTTTGACTTATGAGTTTGGTGGCTAAATAGAGACAGTTTCTGATCCCTCAAGGGTTGATATTACATCATACAATAAAAGGAGTCTAAATCCCACACTTATAAAGTATGTTCGCATGTGCAGCCCTCAGCCCAGGACGAGTAAATACTTACCAGTACGAGTAGTATGTCTGATCACAGGTGGCCCAAAGAATCCTTCGACGAAAATGGCAAGAGGTATATGAAATTTTGGGCTGATGGAGCATGGCATGACAGTCGTAATGTCCTTCAAGACTCATCCTCTACTTCTCAATCACCACAATACACTCGGCCCATACCTAACCCAGGCCAACCTACCGACTCATCGCCTTCTTATAATCAGGGATACTCAACTTCTCAGTCCTATTCCACAGGACAGAACCAGCCTACCCATTTTCCTGCCTCTACTCAAGGCTACTATGACACTAATCAGGGCTACTCTGGCGCAAGCCAAGACTATCATACCCAGCCCGCCCCTGAGGGTTGGATGTCTAGTATGAATGTCGACACATCATACACGCAAGGCCGCGCTTCAATCCCATCAGACAGCGATAGAAGAGATACAAGCTATGCTTCAGGCTCGGCTCCAATACAACACCAAGCCGGTTACACTTCCTCGCTTACGGGCAGTACCCAGATGTTTGAAGAGCCCGAAGAAATGGATTGGAGCACAAGCGCAGTTCGCTCGGAAGCAATCTTCGCAAGTAGGCGATCAGGCTCTGGTTCCGGTTCGGTCAGCTCACCGAGGCGCTTTAACTTTGATTATCAGAGTTCCATGGACAGTAACATACTTCGCTGTCCCTATAAATTACCGGTTGTTGATCCTATAACCCATGTATCTGACGGCAGTGGAGCAGAACGAACATGCAATGCAGTAGCGGAAAAAGGTATAAGATACTGCACAACGCATAGGGACGGTATGTCACTTCCGATGTATTGCCAGTCACTTTTAAGAGAGGAACAGGAGTATACTGAAGACTCTGCTGGAAATTTTATAGGCTTGGAACCAAGGCTCAAGACAATGGTAAGGCTACCATCGGGTGCTTTTGATAACCCACGATGCGGTAACCCAATGATCACCGAGCAGTTCTACTGTCTAAGCTGTCGGCCTCGTTTACTAAACTGTTCTTTTCAAGTTGCAAATCCAACTGTACCTCTATGCGACAGAGTAGGTCAACCAGAACATGATCCAGTTCACACGTCGGTGTGGCCTCGCGTTTACCAGAATTTTTGGAACTGTCCAGATCACAAAACGCGTCTTAATCAGGGGCCATACCCTTCTGCTCTTGCTCGAAGACCCTCATCTACTTCATTCGGAGATCCAGAGCCGAGTTTATATATGGAGGGAGTTGCGCCACTTCAACCACCCCCAAGCTCACGAAGGTCTGGAGCCGCTCGGGCAGAGTACTCTGGAGGAAAGTTTATGCACAAGAGTAGAAAAAGCGATTCAACAGAATATACCAAAGAGCAATGGAAGGAAGAACGAGACAATGAGAAAGCGGAAAATGCGAGGTTAGGAAGGGAGCGCGAGCACGGAAAACGAGAATCGGGACAACATAGGCAACCAAGTAGAGGGCAGGGTGGAGAGGCAAGTACGAGGAAGCATCGTCATCGACCTTCGAAATAAAATACCAGGCAAAATTGTAAGCTAGCTTGTGCATATTAGTCCGTTGCTTTACCAAATACAAAAAAATCGTTGCTTTTTAACTCTTTTCCCCTCTTTGAATAACACTCTATCGTATCACCCGACCCGAGAAACCACTTCCTTCTTTCAAACTCGCCTTCTAACTCCCCTTTCAAGCCCCATACTTTTCAGTCAACCCACCGACCGGAATCTTCACCTTGAACACCAGTGCCTGATTATCAAGATTATATCCACTCCCATCACTATACGTGAACTTTCCTCCCTCCAAATACCCATCTTGCGTGATAAAGTCGTTATCACTCAGACTGAAAATATACTATATCGTTCCTTCATTAGCAATTCTTCCTCTCTCCAAGAAATGAAAACATACCCATTCCCCGTCCGCGCCCTCTTTCCCATCAACAGGCACTACAGCAATACTTTCCCACTTCTCATTCAACAATCCTTTATCCGTCTTTCCCCCATTGTGTACTCCAAACCTCTTCAACTCATCATTATCATTGACATCCAACCACGCACAATAGGTCGCCGTTTTGATTCCGCTCCCTAGAACCCCCGTCGAGCTCGCAATCGCGCAAGTAGCACAATCGTATTTCGTCCCCTTAACATTCGTCGCGTTGCTAATATCGAAAATATCTATCTGTCTATAAATACTCTCCGTGCTATCCTGACCATTCCCTGACCCCGAATCTCTCGCCAGAATCAAGAATTGTCCATTAGGTAAGGCATGAATTTCAGACTGCGCAGCTACTTTTGGGTTTTTACTAGCTTTAGCCGTTGGGTCTGTCCATAAAGGAAGAGGGACCACATATTCACTCAAATATAATGGTTTTCCCGGGTTTGAGATATCGTATGAGAGAAAACGACTATAGCGTTCTGTTTGAGACTTCAGACCGCCTTCTTGATTATTTGCTGCTTGGAGAAGTGTGTAGAGAGTTTTTCCATCGGCAGATATACTGAGACCTTCGAATCCATGGTTGTTATCTCTACCAGTAGGGTTATCGGCGGGTGAGACGTCATCGCCAGAACCTTGGTCGGGATAATGGTATGGAGAGTCAGCGGAGAAAGATTCGCTGCCATTACGCATGGGAATGAAGGCATCTGGTGGTCGTATGGCGGATGTCATTGTGCCGGTAGAGTTAAAGTGATAAATATAAGGACCCTGGTGGATAGTTAGACAAGGTGAAACATTAGGAGACTGGGGAAACATACATATTCATCACTAACCCACCATCCTCCAGCTCCATCCAACACCAATCCCTCAGCATCAACCGATACCCTTCTTCCTCCCGTCCCGTTTCCTCCAAATCCATCGCCCGTATACGTCGCCACGGGCAAATCGGGGAACCCCGAATAACTCAAATGACCCGATCCATCCGCGTCCAGCCCTGTTGTTGGTGTCCCATCCGGTCCAGAAAACAGAACCGTATCACTATATTTGAACCACAAATTATTTACCGAAGGACTTTTCACTGTCGCATTAGCCGCTGGTGTAAAAATTATGTCGAATTTATGAACCCGTGTTTGAAAGTTTAGGGTGCCTTCTGTATTCCTATTATGTCCGTTAGAACCCTCAATTAACCTCCTTCCCCAAATAACTCAAGTATTCTAGCCGTATATCCAGGAATGGTAGATAAGTGGTAGATTGAGGGGGAAAAGGGAACTGAAATGCAACAAACCATCCCCTATCAGGCAAAGCCCACAAAATCCCCGTATAACTGCCATTCTCTAACTTCTCCCAACTCTTTGTGTCAATCGCGATCGCACTCCCAATCCCTCCAATTGTGTCCCCGAATTTATCACGTGCAGTACCTGGAATATATCCATAGCCTCCTAGTGCCTGATACGTATATGTCTTTCCATTACATGTAGTTTGATTAACGTATAAACTACTTTGAGCTGCTGCCAGCCCAAAGAGAGGGGCCATTGTGAGGAACGTTCTTAAAGACATCACTAGAAATCTTATAAACAGTACCAATGCCAACAATAAAAGAAGTAAAGGTACACAGGAACATTGTAGAGATCGCGGGGTAACATGGAGAACATATATTCCTTGCTTCGGGTGAAGCGGGTGCCAATATACACGAAATATATTGACGATTAAAGGATCCGTATTGCCACCGGAAGACTGACCAATGAATGATGCAACGTGCCTGAAGTTGAAGATGCGGAAGCTTCCTAGCTTTCTTACCCCAGGTACAATTTTGCAGTATGTTGCACTGAAGGATGAACTAATGACGAAGATTATGCAAGAAGGGAAGGTCACCATGACTTGTGGTTAAATACATGCACGTTGTAGTGTTGAGATTCTTGATTGGTCAGCTCACTCTGACTGGGATATTTGGCATGGAGTAAGTAATCTGTGCAATGCATGTCAATATGAAAAGTACCTACTAGGTACTTTATGAAGAATCGTCACATTAGAAAAATTCATAATTCCTTGATGCCATATTTATTGTGATATCTGAAAATGCTTTTGCATTTCTTTCATATGTCGTATCTCATTCCCATTTCATTTCGCCCAATGCCTTAAAAATTGCTCAGACTTCCTCCACCAACTAGCACATGCATAATGTGCCTCCTAAATTCAAAGGTATCGAGAAATGAAAAATTGCCTCGCAAATGCCTATTGTGTATCGCCTCACGATGTTCATCGGAGAATTGAATCTAAACAGAAAATTACTTTTTTAGATAACAATATCATTCTGATCCTTCGTAGTAACTCCACGTAGGTAGCGACATTGCTCCTAAGTATGTGATATCATTGGGCGAAAAAGTAAAAGAAAAAATCATTATCCAGATCGGACACCAGTTTGTCCTGCTAGATGTATATGGAAAGTTGTTCAGAGATCATAAACATCCCAACCATCAAGTTTATTGGCATTGTAGTTGATTCGGCGTTTTTGATCCGAGGGTGGGTTTTCCGGTCGTGCAAAGTCGATCCGTAGCTCCTCATCAAGTCACAACTCATCTTCATCGTCGAGTTCCGCAGGTTTAATGAGTCCTCCGACCTTGGACAGACGTTCACGTTCTGCGGCCTTGGCATCTCTTTCAGCTGTCTCTTTTTCCTCAGCATATAGCTCGGTATTGTCCCCAGCAAACTCCTTCAACGAAATTAAGAAATCCCGTAAGTTAAGTCTGAATCGATCTGCAGAATGGTTCAGAGTGAAGAGACCCTCAACAAATGCTTGAATTTGGGGTCTGAAATAGATTAGTAAGGTATATTGATAGAAGAAGTGGTAATGACTTACGCTTGAAGGTTAGGGAAAGCATTCTGCAACAAACTAGCCACAAAGTTTGTAAGGAAATCCTTGTTGCTTGTGTTTGGTGGCGCTTGGTCCTGGACATAGATAGGCATTTGAATCTTTGGCGCGGTACCATCAGCTGGGTGAACAAAGTAGAACATTCTTGCCAACAAAGTTGCTTGTGACTTGAATCCAGCTTTGTGATCGGTATCGGTGAGTACGAAGAAGACATCCTGGAGAATTGGAACGAAGAATTGCTGGAAGAAAGCACTGGAAGTGGCGGGGTCAGTTTCTGCGATGTTGGTGATCAACTCCAAACACATGTTGAGACCGGCATGTTCAACCTCTCTATTGTCGTGCTTACTAGCCCACATGCAAGAATCGATGACAAACTTGAACTGTCGGTTATCGAGTTTGAGGAGAGCTGGGAAGCAGTGAAGGTTGATTGCTCGGAGAAGGCTGAAGAATTCAACACGATGTTCTGGGAATTCCGAGAAATCCTTGTTAATCATTTCCAAGGTGCATTCGAATACATTTGACATAATGTTTGGCACTTGATCTTCCATGAGGCCCTATATTAGATGTTAGTAAGTGCTGGATGTATCTCCAAGGTAGGGAGGCTAAGATAAGAAAGGGTATGCACCACTGAATATTTCGAGCGATATGGGGTCCAACGTACAGAAAGTTTGGTTATAATAACAGACATGACCTTGAGAACTTCGGCATCACGTGCACCTGGAACATTGCGGTTGTAATCGATCAAGACTGCTTCAAGAAGGTTTGGAACAATGTTTGTTCGAACCATCTCAAGATCATCGGATTTCTCAACGAACGTTTCAATGAGCTTGAGAATCTCCTTCTTGATAGTTCTTAGACCTCGAACTCTAGGCATTTTGGTGGCAATTTCACCTGTCAAAATTTAGTATTACAAATCGTAAAAGCATTATGAGAGAACTACTTACCCTCACTTGCAACGGCCTCAGAAATCATCGTGCTGGTAGCTTTGTACATAGACAACATGTCAAGGTAAATGCGTCCAATTTGAGGATAGAAGTAGCTTCCGATAGAGGAACAAGCAGATACGTTGGTCTTCATGACATTACCAATGACCTTGATGGTATCTGCATCTTGAAGAATTTGGGGATTGGTGTTTGCTTGGGCAATAATGGCATCCCAAGCAGCGTTTGGATATGACATCAGTTCAGCAATGAGTCTTTCTTGGGAATTCTTTTGTGGTTGAGCGGCAATCATGTAGCCACATGCCTCGTAGAAAGTGTGCACTTGCTGTGGGGATAGATCGCAAGTAATCTTGCGCATGGTTCTGACAATCTCCTCGATGAATGGTTCAGACTCGCCAGGTTGTAAAGCAACAAAATGACGCTTACACTGTCTTGCAATCTTGATGAATGTATCACAAGCCATGTCTTGAACACCTTCGTGGGACTCGTGCATGAACTCGAACAGCTTGTTGACGACGGTCTTCAAGAATTTCCAGTGAGCCTTCAAGAAACGTGGATATTGACCAACAATATACATGATGTTACTGGCAACCACGGCTTTGTTGTCCTTTCCTCGTTTCATTTCAGTCAAGCCAAGCAAATCCTTGATGACAGTAACCAAGAAACGTTTCTCAGTCTCTTCGTTCATAGCAAGGGAGATGGAACCGATAGCCCAGCACAATGTGTTACAGTTGGCCCACGACCATTCGGTACCATCAACTTGTCGGGATAGCTTCTCAGTCATGATGTTCTCGGTATCGACTACGTCCAAATGAGTAAGATAGACCAAGCACTCTCTGGTTGTCTTGTACAACTGAATGGTGTCGCTCTCCTTGACGAATTCACGAACGATCTCACCCTCATCGTTCTCAACGATCAAGACTTCCTCTGGTCTGACCATCTTTTCAATCATAACCACTCGCAAGTTCGAAAGTACTTCGTTGTACTTGTGCTTTCTGAGAGGATAATTGGCGAGCAGACTTGGGTTGGGGGCACCGGGACTCGAGATGCCGCCGACGCCCATTCCGACAAGAGGGTTGACGTCTCCAATAGGTAGTGACTGCTGTTCATCATACAATTCTTGAACCAATCTAGTCCAGTACTCTAAGCAAATCTTAAAGATCTCTCGGTCCTCAATTTGGGAAATTCGGATAAGGTAGAAGTGACCGTGTGTGAGGAAATCACGGTTCGGTAGGTTCTCTATGAGCTGTTGGGATAATCAGAATGCATCGAGGAAGACTGAACGAGTAACAGGAAACTTACAGTAAGATGGGAAGAGAAAAAGTTACACAGGAAGAGGGCCAAATTCTGGATGAACTCCTGGTCCTTAGAGTTACTCGAGTTGTAAGTACTCTTGAGGTCGAGCGTCAAAGGAATAATCTTGGAAATTGTGGTCAAAACTTCGGTGAACATTTGAACTAGTTTCTCGTCGTAGTTGTTCCCAGTACCAGTTTGGAGTCCTCCAATCTCTGTCAAACACTTTAATGTGACATTTCTGAATTCGGGCATCTCCAAAAATCGTTCTCTAAGGGTATCGATAACGGTCGTCTCGAAGATATAACCAAGCGGAATCCAGTTAAAGAATCGGAGAAGGGTCTCGAGGGTAGCCTTGATCAAACTTTCTTGGGTGGCGCTATTCAGTACTTCGTTGCAAAGCTGGAAGATGGACGAAAACTCTGCACACATCGTCGTCTTCAAGTTCTTTGTCTTTGCAGAAGTCATCTGGTCCGCCGAGTAATCGAAAACTTCCTCCGATAACAATCTCAAAATCGACATATTATTCTCGCATATCGATAAACTTGTGTGGCAGGAGGATATGATCTCGTTGATGAAAGTGGGCCAGTTGTGAGGCCATTCTTGCTTCAAGATGGAAACGAGGACGAGGTTCAGCTTGTTCAAGAGGACTCTTTGGGACCTTAGAGACTCTTCCGATCCGGAACATTGTATGATGAAACCAACGACGAAATTTCGAATGCCTGGAACAAGTCAATATGGCATACTTTATTAAGGAAAGTAACAGAATCTATTTACCTTGGCACTGCTCTCTGGGCAGAACCTTCCACCTTGTCATGATAACATGATCTAGTACTTGCAAACCCAAATCTGATAATTTGTCAGCGAAACAGCATAGAGAGGGCGTTAAGGAACCTTGACCGACATTTGGCTTGCGGATATGTAGACTCTTGTAATATCTTATCAACTAACAACCACGCATCCGGATCCTCCTTGAACTATATAGTATATCAGTATCGATGGCGATATGGAACGAGAGAAAGATTTTCGGCGCATAAGGAAGTCGTACCTGGTTCATTGCAGCCTGAGCGGCTTTTTGCTACGGAACAAACGCGTCAGTAAGGATCTTCCGGTATGAATAGATTCATTTGGATATATGATATATACTCACAGCCTCACCGCGACCTTCATAGAAAGTCTTGACGGTCGCGTCAAGCTCTTCAATGGTGACAGCCATCTTTGCAGCTTGATTTAGGTATAATACCCTATCCTGCTCTCAATAGATAAGCAATACGCTTTAATACCCTTTTGTGCAGCTTGCGCTGTTACAAGAAACTTTATTAAAAGAAGTTGATGGTATGTTTGAAGAAGTTGTTCGAAAATGTCAAGTTGAAGATTGTTGGACCCAGCCGCATGTTCAAAGTGCTTTGTGCCCCACTAAGAGGAGGGATTCTCTCAGCGGGCCTTCAATACCGATCGGTAAGCCAGCAGGTCAGGTGATCATACCCAAATTATCTCACTCGGAAGATTTATCCGTAAGTGAATTCCTCTGATGTGAGTTAATTCAAAGCTTCAAGGGTGTTCAATCAAATTCCATTCAATTCATGACCTTGTTTCAATACGATATACCGCTGTTCTTTTCCTTGTTAGGAACAGATTGATCCACTGTGGACTATGATTACTTTATAAGCAATTACAGCAGAGTCATGGATGAGAAAACTGCATATACTCATCATACCCCTCGATTTTCTGTGCGTGGCGAACGAGGGAGCTGTATAAATCCAATTCTCTTCCATCATCTCTATCTTTGGCGGTTAATTTTCTACGTTTAATCTACCCACTCTTCAATACTCCTGCGTAAACTCTGCACGATCCGCAATTCTCTACATCAATGGCGAATGAGAAATTTACATCTAGTCGATGTGCCCCTCGACCCTCTCCGTCCTGGGACTACATCCGTCATTCTGCTCCTTGGTCCCTTGTCCTGAGACTAAGCATACCTCTTAATATACTCATCTCCTGTTTGTATCAATACTTCAACTCTTCATCTCGTATATACTCAGTAGTATGTACTCGCATACTCCTCATTCTCTCATACAGTCCCAGTCATTGCTCAGGTCTATGTCATATATCTCATTTTGCTCACAGCTATTCATACCTGCATCATGATAGCATTCATTAAATCAAGTGATCCAACATTATGAATTTGATATCATATTTAGGCATAGATTACCAGATCTCCCAGAGAGCTTCTTCCCCAAACACATTCATAAATCGAAATTTGATATATCACATTCTTGCCTATAATAAGTACCGATATCTACCTATCTATTGAATGCAGGATCTCGTGGAAAGCTGAGGCTTCCATACAATCTTCCGTGTTCCTTCTACCGAGTTGGATCTAAATTTCCGAACCAATGAGTTTGCGTTTGTTACACATGAATGTACTATCCAATAGGGTGTCGAGGCAAGATGGGTTATTTGTACGACCATGAAAGCTCGGGGGCCTAGAAGTTTCTTCTTTCAGTTGCTTTACCTTTCATGTTGAATCTTGGAATTACCAGTACTACACCAATCTAATGTCAGAGCAGAGTATCAGCAGCATTGCTTTACGAGCAGCGGGTCAAGAGAGATGAGAGATACGTCAATCACAAGCAAAACAAATTTGGATGCTTAGCAAACAACGAAAATTGACAAACTGATATAGTATAACGATCAAATGAACATAATAACAAGACTACAGCTCTACGCTCATGGCTATTATAATCTCTTTCAATGAGATGTGTATATCCACACGACCAAAGGTTACACTAGAGCCCAATGTACAGATCAACGCAGACCTAACTGCCAAAGAAAAAGCAGTCAATACCTACATGGCAATATACAGGCCTTTCAAGCTTATTAAAGATAAATTTCCTAAGACAAGACCAATCGATACCTATGAGGCCTAAGACTAGACAAATCTAGAAACATAGGTAATGTCAGCGGGACTTCTAATTACGTATTGACTTGAGGACAATTAATCAAGGACATGCATGAATATGATTTACAACCAAAACCAATCCTCCACTTCAACAACCTAAATTCTAAATCCAAACCCAGCTTCTTACTAATAAAAAACAAATGCAAACTCCCGAACACCAATACTTCTCCCAGAATTTCCCCCTCGCTTGTATAACCACATCTCCTCGCATTGCTTCTCAATTTCTACCACCCATACATCCAACCCCATACACAAGCCCCCTCAGAACTACACTTGCAATCTCTGATTTTTTGCTATACACATTACATATATATTTCCATATCATTTCGGGAAACAAACAATCACCATACTCCATACTCCATATCCCATCATCTTAGGTATAACGACTTCCCAAAAGTATTTTAAGGCTTAATCAAACACATCCCAAGAAAATTCACTCTCTTGAATACATCTCCCAACCCCAAATAATCACTATCTAGATACCTACATATGCACTTATCACCTCTACCGTATCCCCATCCCCATGCCTGTATTTCCACTCACACATCTCCCACTCAAATGTTCCGAATCAATCCGCGAAGCGAAGAGAGCTTATTCTACTCCTCCCCTCTCTCAGCTTCAATTCTACGATCCCTAGCAATAAACTAATATTGTGTATTTTCCATCCCCATCCCCTCTCCATCCCCTTTCCCTTCCGATTATCCATTCCCAGCATCCTCATCACAACATCCCCCTCACATCCACCCTCCCTCCCAAGAAACAAAAAAACAAAGAAACAAAGAAGAGAGAGGCAGAAGAGAGAGGCAGAAGAAAGAGACAGAAACTCAATAAATCAATACTCACATTACATTTATAACATCTACACACCTATCTACACACCTATCTACACACCTATCTACACACCTATCTACACACCTATCTACACACCTATCTACACACCTACACAAGAACTCCCATGCAACCCACCAAAAAGTCAACACCACCCATCAACCCCAAACCTTTGATTCCCAGACTAGGCAATCCATCTATCCATCTATTTCCTATACATCTAAGATATCTGTTTCTCACCTTATTGCCACATTCAAAAGTTCAAACATACGTATGTATGAAGTTCCTTCGTTTATTCATTCATTTATGTACCTAGTATATATATGCATTCATCCGTATTCGTCCATTCATTTTATGTAACCACCTAGAGAATAATTTTTGACCTCTCCAACCTATCTGCATTTTCCCACCCCCACCTAAGAGTGATTTTGAGTTCCCCTAAACCATTCCAAATATATCCACGATAATTTTTGAACAATGCTGATCTCTGCCCATAGCAATATAGAAATTACACATCACTCCGTCTCATTCCATTCAACACCGCTCCCACCCTTTGCATTTCTTCAAAGAACGCAACTAAGCCTTTTCATACCCTGCCTCCTTCAATCCAGTATCAAGTGCCTCAATAGCCTTCTCTACATCCCCTCTGCCCTCATCCATAACACTAACTCCCATGTGTCCCACCCTAACATACTTTGTCGCAATCTCTTTATGCAAGCCACCTGCAAAAATAACTCCCTTCTTCACCAAATTTGGCAATAACTCTGCGGCTTTGACGCCTTCAGGAAGATAAATAGCAGTCATACCATTTGCCTGATCGGCAGGATTAGGTGCCAATTGTTTGAGCCCTAGATCTGCGACTGCCTTTTTGATCTTTTGTGATGTAGCTTTGTGTTTAGCGAAACGTTCAGAGAGAGGAATAGAGAGAATTTGGGTGAGAGAGGTGTGTAAAGCGTGGACTAGTTGAGGAGATGGAGTGGCGAAGTAGGATGGCTTTTTAGCTTCGTAGTTTTGCATTACTATTTCCATTAGCATCATATCCTATACACCAAAAATGCAAATGTCAAACTTACTTGGCAACCAATTCTTGAATGAAGCAAAATACGATCCTGGAGGAGTCTTCCTTGCCTTGAATGTCTCAATCGCTCTACCACTATAGTACGAAATTGAAAGACCAGCTGGACAACCAATCGCCTTCTGACTCGCCGTGATGACAGCATCCAAACCCCAGCTATCAAATTCAATCTCCTCACATCCCACACTACAAACACCATCTACCACAACCAATGTCTCAGGAGAAACGCGATGAACAAGCTCACTCAATTTCTTCAACTCACTCAAAACTCCCGTCGAAGTATCCACATGAGTGACCGTGATCAACTTATATTTCTTCTCCTTCAATGCCTTTTCAATCTCGTCCAATTGAGGTCTTTCCCCAATCTTCGCCTTCAATTGTGTGGGTTTGACTCCATAAGTTTCAAAACAATCCGCGAACGAATCTGCAAAATAGCCAGTATGGAGGACCAATACCTCATCACCTGGTTCTGCCAAATTTGCAGCCACAAGATCCCATCCAAGAGTACCGGAACCAGAAATGACGAGGGGTTGGGAAGTGGGATCGGTAGATTGGAAGAGCTTGCGCAGCATAGAGAGAGTTTCGCCGAAAACTGCTACGAATGGAGCGCTGACGTGACTTTCACTGTTTTATTTGAGGATTGGTCAGTGATTTATCCTATTTCAAGACTCAAATCAAATTGCTAGTAATGATAGGTAAATACCTATAATGGCTCATAGACTGCAAGACAGCATCGTCAAACTCAATTGGGCCCGGAATGAGCAAAGTAGGGTGAGCTTGTTGAGTCGACATCTTGATATTATTTTCTTGAAGCTGTGTAGAATTGCTGAAGCTTCTCGATGGTGTTGTAGATACCGAATTGGTAGAGTTGTCAAGTAAATTGGGATTTATCTGTCGTGCAATAGCAGACAGTCTAGCTTGAGGAGCCACGATTTGAGGAATGGCGGGGTAAAACACCCGCCTGAAAGCCAGCTTGGAAATGGTTCCGTCCCGTTATTATCCGATTGGACCAATAATTGATGCTCTATTAGACAAGAATGAATAGTCTTGGTAAGAAAATGCTTAGGTTTGGGTGCTACAATCACTCGGAGTAATGAGAATGAGGGATGACATTGGGATTTATTTACCAAAAGAAGCGGTGATGACCGTCAATTGTTGCATAAATATTAACAGTTCGTTTCATAACTTCATAAACTTCATAAAAACGCACACCTAACCTCACTATTGTACTCCGAGGTCGGGGATTTCTTCGGGGACTTCCTACAATAAACTACCTAGACTCCATCAATGCCTTTACCCTTTACAAACCCCCAGCAATTTTACTTCTTAACCTCAAAATATGTATTACCATCATACAATAAGAGAAGAATATTCGATTTGATATCGCTTTCCCCTTCCAATCCAAAAGAACCTATCAATTGCTATCTATGCGTGCTGTGTAGCTTGTGATATATGGATAAAACACGATGAACTCCTTCCAATGCTTTTTCTCTTTTCACCATACCATACACTACCATGCTATGCTAATCGTAACATTCGTTCTCCATTCCCGTTCCATTTCAATCATGTCCTCTTCTTCCACTGTGCCACTTTCACGTACCCGTACCATTTTTCTTCATACATAATTACAGTAGAGTGAGATTCCCCGAACATATGTACCATACCCATATATACACTTCATTCCTTCAAATCATACCTTCCCTATGCTCTCTACTTCTTCTTCGTCTGAAAGACCTTCTTAACCTTCGTCCTAAGAGGTTTCGCCGGTTGAGCCGCATGTTTCACCGCTGCGATCTTCTTTGCCTCCTTGGTCGTTCTCTTTCCGATATCCCATCCCCAACCCCTCAGCGTCCTCACAACCTTCGGGGTCACTGCCGCCGTCAACGGCACTCTAATAAAAATAAACGATTTATGGATCGCGTAAGCGAGAGCCAGTTGAGTACCTAGACTAGCATCCCTTTTATTGCGCTCTTCTGCTTCTTCTACGCCCCATCCTGCCATTTCTACTCCGTCGCCGAGCTTGTCGGATCCGGTAACATCGTGCGAAGCTTTTTGCATGGCGACACGCCATTCGTGGAAAGTGGTTTTGATGGATTCGGGGATTATGGATTTTATGGAGGAGGTTATTGTATGTTCCCATTCACCTATGATAGTGTGTTAGCCGGCCACTTGGATTAAGCTTTGGAAAATGTTAGACAGAGGATAGAGCTCCGTCTGAACTATTCATGCATGGGATATAAAATCAAACTCCCGCGCATATGCAATTCCCAATATAAACATCCGACTCAATTCGAAAGAAAAAAGCGACATTTCACTTACCAATTCTATCCGTTCCCAGCGTCCTCACTAACAAATAGCAAAATGGAAAATCTGCCGCAGATAAAAATATATAAACTCCCACCACACTCCATCCGTATTCTCTGCTCAATTTCTTCATTCTCCCTGATAAACTGGTATCATCCCCCAAATTTTCAGGCTTTGCTTCTCCATTCCTCCTCGGTCTTGAATTGTGAAAGTACCTATTTGTTCTTGCGCGAAGACGTTGGAACAATGTTTCCGAAGACGATCTCGGATTCGAGGAGAATGTAAAATTGGCAGTCTGCGGACGGGATTTTGAGCGAAGAGAGTTTATGGGAGTAGAGGTAGATGTAGTTATAGGTCGCTGTGGCAGCTTTCGCAAAATAGCTGATCTTGTAGATGTCGTATTTTGAGTCGTAGTTCGATAAGCTGTGATGAACTGGCGCATTCCCCCAGCCCTCAGTCCTAATATCGTTGCGCGGAACATATTTGCGCTTTGGTGATTCCTCCTACCACAATGTGAATCGGATGTTATGTCGTTTTTTCTTTCACCCTTTTATAACTACCTCCTGAATTCCAAACTCGTACTCAATCGCGTTCGTTCTTCCTCGTCAAATATCCTCGCAATCTCAAAATGAGGGGTCCCAACAACCGGATTCGTTTACTATGTCCGGAAAATCCGTTCGCAAGTGCTGATTCCTGTATAGTTAATTGACTTCGTGATAAGCTGACAGGTCAATTAATAATCTCAGACTCTCATTCCTTCCTACAGTTCAGTAGTTCATCGCAATGTTTCAATTGACATGCGCTCTTCGAATCGTAGTTCATTCAATTGTCGACATATTCCACTAAAGTTTTGATGAGGGACTAGACTACCAAAATTTGAGACGGCAAATTCCTTCCACGCTTTTGACAAGGGAAGCTCCCGAATGAGCGCATGATGATGTAAAAGAATTACACATTACGGTGTTCTAAGAGAACTAGTTGTGCAATAAGTGGCTCAATTCTGTCTCTTATGAAATTTGTACATAATGACTTACGAAATTATTCTCGTCCCAACGTATTTTACTAGATGAGCATTTCATACCAACGGTTGTAAATACCTTGTATGTATCCTGTCTTTAACTAATGAAGTAGCAAACGCCGCGCCGGCTCTCCGGAGATTCATGGTTGGTGGGCGGGAGAGGTGAAGACAGAATGTCTAGAATGTTGCACGCTGGGTAATTCAAACATTCGAGCGCAGCGAGCCATGAGGGCTTGGGGGCCTGCCCCTAAATTGTTCTCTAAAGAGATGAACGGCATTCGGCAATAGGGGAGTCGAAGTGGTGAGGAAAATGTGTTGATAGTATATTGAAACACTCCTACCCCGCAACGTTAGCAAGCAACAACAAAGTCTCGACGTTTTTATGATCTGATCGTCGAAGTGAGCAAACCGGGGTAAGCTGGAGAATGGTGAGTTTGACTTCATGATAAACGGACTTTCGAACAGGATAAGGAAGTGATTATAGAAGGTAGAGTTTCAACAGTAAGAAATAGAAAAGATATCACTGGAACAAGAAACATTCACTGAAGAGCATGGTTGAAGATTAAAGTTTTGAAGGTAATCAAATCAATTCGATTACGATGGTTTAAACAGTCGATATGGACAACAGAAGCTATATTTACAAAGAACCCGAACACTGAGCGCAATCTCCTCCAACACCGTCCCCTTCCCCCTTCTATATTGTTCGAAAAAACCCTTTGCAGGGCTTATTCATCATGGTGTTAAGATGCTTAACACTTGACACCAGATGGGAGACCAGCGCACTTGGAGGAGGTCTTACCACCGGAAACGCTGACGTCCCAGGTCCATCCAGAGCACTTGGCGCAAAGAACGTAGACGTTGGTACCACTGGAAGTGACGGTACCCTTAACGTTGGAGAAAGTAACATCGGTAATGGGGACACCGGCAGTTGGCTTTCCGGTTGGGGAACCGTTTTGGTAATCTTGTTGAACAACAACACCGTAGGATGTAATGCCGGAGAGAGTGATGTCCTTGTAGGTAACGCCGGAGACAGATCCAGTAGCACCAGAAACGGTCTTGATGCGGACACCGTTGGCAGAGTTCTTGACAGTGGAGGATTCAATGGTGATGTCGGAGACAACGTTGTCGGAACGTCCACCGACAGATCCGATGGAGAGACCGTGACCACCGGAGCAGGTTCCACCGGTGAAGGTGATACCAGTACCGGAGTTGATAGCGAGACAGTCATCTTGGTTTTGAACGTTGGCACCGGAGATGGTGATGTCGCTGGAGGAACCAACATCGAAAGCATCAGTGTTGTGTCCGAGGGAGGTACCGGCAGAGTTGTCAATGTGGATGTTGGAGAGAGTAAGACCGGAAGCACCGTTGATGGAGAAGACTTGAACTGGAGAGTTCAAGATGTTGATACCATCGATGACGGATTTGCCCTTCAAGGAGTGGGCGTAGAAGAACTTTGGCTTGGTCTTTCCACCGTTGGTTCCCTTACCATCCCAGTACTTGGCTCCTTGACCATCAAGCGTGCTGCCGGCAGCACCCTTGACAGTGATGTCAGTTCCGGAGACAGAGAAGAGAGGACCGGACCATTCTTCGTAACCGAAGGTGGTGGTACCCTCGAAGATGACCTGGGTACCCGAGTTGAGGCCAGTCAAGTCAAGAGTGGTACCGGATGGGACAGAGAGGGCGCTGAGGACAATGGTTGCGCAGGAAGCCTTGGACTTGGAAGCGGCGGCGGCACCATTAGCTCCGGAGAAGGTACAGGCGGCAGCACGGTTCTCGATAGCAGCGAGAGCATCAGCTGGGTTTGGTGCTGCGGTTGGTGCTGGTGCTGGAGCAGCAGCGACGAATGCGCTCAGCGCAAGGAGGCTCGAGGCCATGGAGAGAATTTGAACCATATTGGCTAGTAGTGTAAAAGAATGTAAGTTTAAAGAGTGAATGTACTAGACAGTATGGAAAAGAATGTAAGTGATGATGAGATGAGGAATGAAAAGAAGGTGTTTGAAGCTTCCTTATATATGTAAAATACATAATGTTGAAATTCGGAGAAGCATCGAAGTGGAACCTGGTTGAATGGCGCCGTCGGCTGTTGATGCGAAATGTCCACAGCAGTAAACCTAACCCGCAGTGAGCCAAAGTATCTATCATGCTATGGTCCGCTTTTGACTCTGCAATGTAAGATCAAGGTCCGCATTTTGATCACAGCAATCCTTGGAACATCTTCCAACATAAGCTTTAAAAAAAGGAGAGATTGCCCGGTGGAGTACAAAATCTCACCACTTTCTTATTGAATGGCACATACAACAAGGGGGAACAAAAGTCTTGGAACATGAAACGAAGCAAAAGAAGCTTTAAACAAGCATAACAATCAATCTTGGCTAGACCCTCCGATATATTAAAATATCATCCCGAGGTAATTTCGAAGTACCGTTACTCCATAATTACTTGTCAAGGAGATGAAATTGAAGCTCTTCTAGACTATTGCCAGAATACAACAGCTCAATCAGTGTGATTAATAAAAAGCTAACCCAAAAAGCGATGCGGCGAAGTTGTTGGATGTTTTGAGTTGATGAAATGTCAACAAACGACGGGATGCACTAGAAATTTGATGGAAGTTTAGAAGGATGTGATTGGTGTGGTTAGCAACCCCTGAGATTCTGATTATTGCTTTTGCGAGGTAGTACCCTTCAATACGGCGTAACGTAGGGATTATGCTTTTGGAATTTCAATCTGACTGTTGAAAAAAGGTGGATCATCTGATGGCATTACAGAAGATAAGATGACTACCAGGCGAGCCTGGGTGGCTTTTTCCATCCCACAAAGTTCTTCCGTCCAATGATTGAGATGAAAGTGGACAGGTGCATTAATTCACGTTTCATCATTACAGGGAATCATTCTCCATTTGCTGGTACATCAGCCACACTTCCCATACTAAACACACCATTCGGACTTTGCTAACCATGTTCACTAAGATTAAGGTACGATCCGCGAACGGAAGCGTAACATTTTGAACTTTAAGGCCTGGTTATTGAGTAGTTAAGGTTAATTCTTAGTTTTATATGCAAACACGTGAGCGATACGGCCAGATATTGACTAGGTGACTAGGTTCAACGGTCATTAGAATTGTGATTGGAATGTCACTCATAGTATCCGATACGGCCCACGGCTGATGTTCGATAGAATGTTAATTTATATGAACTTTATCTATACCAAAGTTTAAACATTCCGTGATGTGCTATCTAAACCTTCCGTATTCTGAAGTGATATCGCAATTGTAAACTTTACCCTCATCTTCAAGACATCAGGGTCTCCGATGTTGTTGTCCTGTCATTGCAACTATGTTCTGGCCTGTTCTGGTCGGGTCTAGTCTGGTCTGTACGCCACATGTTGAAAGTCGTGCAAAAAAAAAGAACCAGAAAGATGTATCTACTTAGAACGACAGTCACGCTTCTTTGCGTCTACATGCAGTACCAAGATCTCCCCGAAGCTGCCGGCAGCAGAATATAGATTCTAAGCGTTGCTTGTTTACCGCCTCCAAGTGATCCCAATTCATATAAATCGACTTGGCTCCCCAGTACCCCTATTGGCGTCGCCTAAGCTTTTGCCAAGTTGTTGTAAGCCATAAAAGATAATCTATACCGGCGAGGATACCCATTGTATAATATATTAAAACTCCGCAATAGTCCGCACGTGTTCCGCAACGGCATTATAACATGATTAAACAAATCAGATTGTAAACCATTTCGGCTTTTGCAAGGTGCATCACACCTTATCGGCAAAAAGACAGAAAGTGGTGCGAGGGTGGACGAGAGTGGCTCGAGAGTGGGTTTGTTGGGGAACATGAAACGACTAGAAATTTCTTAGAAACTTGGTTCATCAATTTGCAGGAGATATTAATTCATGCATGTTATACTTTTATCACGTGTAATTACTAAATTAGCTTAGCTTAGATTGACTAATCCTGGGCTAATATCTTAGCTCTTAATATTATTCTAATTCTATATCTTTTATTTTATATATAAATCTTATAAATGATAGTAAATTCTACTTTGAATATAAAAATAGATCATTAGCATTCATATCAGATTATTTTCCTTTTTATAATGTATTTCTTATAATCAAATCTTTCTTTAAATCTTCTTAAGTTATTAGAAAATCTTTTATTTATAATGTTTAATTATTATTATAAATCTAATTATATTTTAATAAAATAATATATATAGTAATAGATATATAAATATAAAGTTTTATAACTAAATATTAATAAATAATAAATATTTAAATCTATTTAGATTTAATAATATTTGTATTTAAATTAAATATTATAATATTTTAAATAAACTTTTTAGAATTCTTATATTAATATATATTCTTAATAATATACTTGAGTTTTTCTAATTTTGCAAAAACTATATCTAATAATATATAAAAATAAATTTCAAGCTTAATATATCAATTCTTAATATTAGTTTTTAAGCTAGTTTGTATTATATTAGATAAAATAAAGTGTTTAATTATAATCTTTATTATAGAATAATTCTAATAATTATTATATACTATATAGACTCCCATATAACAAAATCTTATATTAGGAGTTATCTTATACTTTTGTTTTTAAGATTTAGATTATTTTAAATTGAATAATAAAATAGAAGTGTTTATTGAAATTGTGAATAATATTTTTGTTTTTTATAATATATATTTGTTTATTATTTATATAACAGTCAAGTTTTTAAATATTATTAAGGAATTATTTATAGCTTATTTTATTATTTTCTAATTTAGTTAATATTTATAAGAAAAAGCAGAATTATAATATATTAATAAAATATCTATAGTATTTATTATACTTTTATTATATATGATTATTAAATTAGCTTAACTTAGATTAGCTAATCCTGAGCTAATATCTTGGCCCTTGGTATCATTCTAATTCCACATCTTTTATTCCATACACAAACCTCACAATGCTGTTCTGATTACTATTTTCAATCTGTATATTGTTCTTTATTACCCCTCCTGTAATCATTACAAAGATCGAATGATGTCTCAATATATATAGGAGTTCTTCATTGGTGGCCTTATATTTCATTCCAGATGATTTATCATCCATCTATCAAGTATTTGCATTATATTTTGCTTTCAAAAAATCTAGAATACGCCGAATAGTCTATCCGTGCATCTACGCAATCTCACTCAATCTCTCACCCCCTTGCCATTGAATCCAATCCAGGTCAGGGGTGATTCGAGTCGTCTAGACTTTACTTGTATTTCGATTGGCGAGGGGCGTTTCATGTGTCTACAATTTTGGTGAAGAAGGGCTTTCATGAAGGATAGCTTGTTTCGTAGATCAGATGATCAAGCAGCCAAGCAGAAGAACTTTACTTGAACCATTGTTTGTGTTTATCTGATGAAAATATCCAGAAATAACTTGACAAGTAAGCTAGATGTGACGAATTGACTAGATTTGCTAACGTCATTGTTTTATGGCCAAGATTTATCTCATCAACATGAGCTCTCTTCTGCTTGTTGTGTACGCCTCGTATGGACGGAATAAGCACAAGCTCTTGGGCCGAACATACTAATGTAAACCTGGCGAGATGCCCTGTATAAAAGCGGTTATCCAGGCCTCATTGAGCGACCCCATCTCATATATGCAGGGAAGTGTCAGGGTATTCAAGTGTGCAAGTGTGGGGTTGGTAGCTCCTGACATCTATGGGCGAAACATTATTCACGGAATCCTATTCAATAGTCGTCTATCGAGAATTTTCCATGTTTCTCTACCCTCGGCGTTTATTTGGATTCTTCCACGAAGTTTTTCGTTTCTCAAATGCTTACGCACGTATGTCATGATTGCCCTAAAGTTAAATAGTCTGGCTTGGCCGTCGAAATTCGGTCTGTCTCAACCCACTCTATTCAATCATTCATCCGTATCTTCGTTCTAACTTTAATTGCCAAGATGCGTGTCCTTCTTACCCTCAGTTCTTTCATTGCTGCTGTGCTGGCCACTGCTCGTACGACACCCCCATCGGGTGCTATCACAGCTGGGTCCGGAGGAACCTACTCTACCGTATGTTGCTTAGAATGTATCCACAAGAATCCGCTTTTACTAACCAAGCAAATAGTTCCAAAAAGCCGTCAATGCTCTTAGCAAGACCACAACCTCCGCCCAAGTCATTTTCCTCTACTCCGGAACTTACTCGGAACAAGTTACCATTCCCGCCTTGAAGGGAAAGCTCACCGTCTACGGATACACCAAGGACACTTCCAGCTACTCAAACAATGTTGTCAACATCGTACACAGCTCTTCCCTCTTGAGTGGAGCTGCCAATGATGAAGAAACCGGAACCGTCATTAACTTGTCGGAGAACACCTCTTTCTACAACATCAACATCAAGAACACCTATGGAAAGGGTTCGCAAGCCATTGCTTTGGCTGCCTACAACACCGAACAAGGATACTACGGTGTTGGTCTTTACGGATACCAAGATACTCTCTTGACCCAAACCGGTAACCAAGTTTACGCCAAGTGCTACATCGAGGGTGCCGTTGATTGGATCTTCGGCCAACACTCCGTTGCTTGGATTGATGGTTCTACCATTGCTGCTTCTGCTGGTGGTGGATGCATTACTGCCAACGGACGCGCAACTTCCTCTGACCCATCTTTCTACGTCATCAACAAGTGCACTGTTACTACCAGTTCCTCATCGACTGCTGGTTCGGGAACTGTTTGTCTCGGTCGTCCATGGACTGAGTATGCTCGTGTTGCTTACCAAGAAACTTCCCTCGGCAGCATCATTGAGAAAGCCGGATGGTCCCAATGGTCTACCAGTGATCCAAGAACCGGTGCTGTTCTCTTTGAGGAGTATGCCAACACTGGTACTGGTGCTTCAGGTAC